GCACGTCTTTGCCGTCTGCGAGGCCGAGAAAGGAGACAATATAACCAGCTTCTCATGGGGACAATTAGTAGAAGTACTTTGGAGTGGCTGCTGCTTCGGAGGACTGCGCACGCATGGGTATGCCCAATGTGCAGTGACGTCGATTGTGATAACAAAACACAAAATAACATTTTATAGGAAGTCGGCATTCTGAAACCCAAGTTCAAGGTGTCTCCTTCGTGCCAAAGAACTGCATGGCTGTTGGGTGAACAGTCGTTAACGAAGGCAGTCAGGTCGTTGTAGGGGCGACGCCTGCTGGTGGATGTAATGTCCTAAGTCCCTTTCCCAGCTAATAGTGAGGGTACTGCTGGGGTGACCATTTGTTAACCCCTCACATAATGCTTTCAAGTCACAGTGGACACTAGGCACGACCACTTTTTTTTTTTTTTTTTTTTTTTTTTTTAAAGCCGTGGCAGTTCTGCCAGGCGGTGGCCGTTGCATTTTTGCTCCATTTGTAGACTGGAAGGATATAGTTTCGTCACCCAGCTTCTGAGTTGAGTGCATGGTGTGACACTGTGAGCTACGAGTGTTTTTCGTTGGCACAGGAGCGGAGCAACAATGGGGTGACCCGTTTGCTATGATGCTGAAACTAGGATTACCAGATTACCAGATTACCAGAAGATGTAACAGTTGGAATGTGAGACATAAGCCCTTCCAAATTGGACAGGAGTGAATGTGAGCATGAGGGAGAGATGAAATGTTTTATTTAAATAAACATGCTTGATGTTATTATAATATACATGCTTAGTGTACTTCTAGAGCAGATACTACAAATATGCGCTTGTTTCTTCATTCTCCAGTTCCCACATTGGCAGGGACTAGTAAGCATCCATTCATTGCTGACCGTCTGAGTGTAACGACCTGCTTGAAGCAGTGAGGACGACAAACTGGGAAAGAATAGACAGGGTCTCCAGCCGAGAACTGCCCGACGGTGAATTCTCCTACTAGGAGTTAAGTATATTTACAAACTGTCATCTATAACATCATCCCAACTCTACTAGCCTAAACAAGTTCACTTTAATTTCGATTTATTCAAATAAATCATGTTTGATGTTGTTACAACATAGTTGAGTAAATTGTGTACTTAGGTTCAAGTGTCTTTGTGCATATTAGTTTACTTCAGCTAACAAATATTTAAATCACTTGATGGGGGCTTTTAAGTAATGCCAGGAGAGGAGAGCAGTCGGAGGGGTTAAATGAGCACCTGGATTATATCACAGTGGGTATATCCAGAAATCTATCTATCCCTTCTCCTACTCCTGTGGATACAAGTACAGCAACTTTCATTTTATGGAACGAGCCACTCGCTGTTTTCTTGGCTATCCAGGACTGTCTAGGATCAACATAGCTTAGATAATAGTCCAGTTTCTCACGTGGGTGGGCATTGTTAAGGTTCAAACCCACACCCTCACTATATCAGTGTATTTACCCACGTGGGCGCGCGACAGTCTTCCTCTATCTCTTTTCCAAAAAATCTGTCCAGTTGTCACAGCATGTTCAGGTTTCTCTCATCTCGTACATATTACCGTTTGCTTCCAATGATTGCGATACACTGACCTCGGGCTCTCCCCTTCTGTGTTATTCATTTTGGGTGGCCAGGGAATTTTAATAACTTCTTCTGTAAAACCAAATCTTTGGGGCCCAAAAACGTTCTTGGCTTGTTTATTAACTGTCCAGGATTCACAGGGAAATGTTAAAACCGACGCTTTACAGCATGCAGGGATTCTTTTTCTAACCTCCAGTGACACGAATTTATTAGCTGAAACGTTTTTTATTTTATAAAATGCAGTTTTAACCTGCCCGTTTACGTTCTTTGTATTCGTGTTATCGTTGTGCATAGATACTTTATTTATGTCCTTGTCCTAAAATAACTAATGTTACTTTTGTTGATCATTTAGGCACTATGAATGTATTTGATACTGCTATTAATTATGTCTTCCCATTATTCAAGACCATTTTGTCACTGTCTACCACCACTGTTTCTATAAATCCAAACATCCAAACAGTGGCATCACCATAAGGCAGGTTATTTATGTTATGACCACAACCACAATTCCTGAAATATCCATGACAGATCTTGTCATTAATTCACTGTATAATGAAAAAAATTATGCAACATACACATTCTTTTCATATGCCCTAACTTATGTTCTGAAATGTTACCGGAAGGTTTTTGCTTGTGTCTGCTGCCAAAATATGCTCTTTGATATTGCTATCTATGTTTATGTCTATTGTTTATTCGACGGATCAACATCATGGCACAATGGTGTAACCCATATGTGCTCTGTTTTACTTCTAACTCAAGCCTGTCTGAAGGTTCTCAGCGCAGTGCACGAACTCCGTTGCACCGGCGAAAATTCTGAAATACTTTGCGTAGTTTTTTTACTCAAAAATTTGCCAGGGCAGAGCCATTAGGCTACTCTTTTCGAGTTACAGCTGTCGAGGATTTTTTTACGTGCGTAACAATACACATGGGCGTCCGATTTTAGACTAAAAGTCCACGTGAAAAATCCCAGCCTTCACCGAGGGTTGAACCCGGGACCTCAAGCACTTGAGGCGGACACCATACCTTGAGACCACTCTGCCCCCAATTGCTACCTATAACGTAGTCTTTAAAAACAAGCACAGAACTTAGTGAGTGAGTGAATAAGTGAGTGAGTGATTGCGTGAGTGAGTGAGTAATGAGTCAGTCGACATAGAGGTCCTAAATGCCCAGTAAATCGGACAGAAATATTAAATGCTCATTCAATCGGCACAAACATATTGAGTTTTGTCATTCAAGGTAGGAGTATTAGAAAGAAGTCATTTTACGAACTGAATTCTCCAACATGACCTAAAGCAACGAAAAAGCCGTGTTATATATATAGTTTTGATCATACTTATTGACAATGATTTTTGAAATCACTTTTTCAAACCTGCCTTCCTATTAAATGCTCACAATTGGACCGCTGCTGTGTTGTTTGTTGAAGTGTCTGTTAGTTGGCAGTGATGTTGATTTACATGTGGATGATTTCTCTAGTGATCCAGCTTCGCCGTTCTGAGTGTCACCATGCCTCAGGTAATGCAATCTATGACTGCCAACCCAGACTCCAAAAACTGCCGAAGGATGAGAGGTGGGTGTTTCTAGTGTTCTTTCTACTGTTCGTTCTACTGTTTCTTTGCGGGGTTTTTTTCTTCCGTTGTCTGGTTCTTTCTATTGCCCTTTCTTTGGTCCAGCTGGTCTTTTTACCGTTTTCCTCTCTGATTAGATTTACTGTAATTTTATCTTGGTTCTTTCTACTGAACTTTCTTAAATATCATCAGCGTTTGCTAATTTAAGCGATATGGTGACATCTATGAGACAGTTTAATATATTGTATAGAAGACATTGGGCTGCGACAGAGAGAAAATATGAGTGTGTTTAGCCCAGGGGGAAGAGAGGGGGTGGGGGGCATTGAGTCTCCTTACCATTTTCTAGAAGTTGGGTCTCAATGGACTTGAGCCTTGTTTAAGTTCCTAATTATAATCAAACAATATTGTGCTGATTGGCAACTAAATATAATAATATATTTGAAAAAGATGCTAAATTTTAAGACAAATACTCATCAAAGAACTTGCAAACATTGTTTAGGTAGCTCTATAGCCCACTAAAATTATTTGTGTGTGTGGGTGTGTGGGTGTGTGGGTGAGAAGGCATGGGGAGCTACAAAGAACACAATCACAATGTTCCGGCTCCCTTGTAGATTAAAGGTTAACAGGACGTTGCAGAACCAACCCCGACAGCCTCTGGCTGTTGTGGGCATTTGTGTGGTTTTTCTAGGCAAATTTATGTCCAGTAGTTTGCCATTGCTTCCTGGACGGTCGGCTTTCTTGGTACCTCTGTCAAAACCAACGCATGGCGTATGGCCCGCAGTTGGGAACCCGCCACCCCGGCATTACGAAGCGTTCGCATCGACTTAGCCACAGAGCCGACGCCTTTGTAGAAGGTTAAAATTATATATCCCTGGGGTTTTTTTTTTTGGGGGGGGGGGGGGAGGGGGGATTAGAGGTCATGATTTTCCTAATCAGATATTGTGAGATTTCTCTTGATACACGTTCGTATGTAAGAATGAATATTGTCAGAAATGTAACTTGTGTGCAAGATTTTTGACTTTTCAAAACATGGCCTTATTGCAGTTTCACGATTTGATTGCTAAAACCAGTCTCTTTCCGGCTTTTCTAAAAATAGCACGGAAATCCAAGAAAGACAACTTTGGCCGCTAAGGGCAGAAAAGCAGCTAACCGGCAGCATTAAAGATCGCTTGCAAACGCGTAAGTGCCAACAGCGGCACGAATAGAATATAATAAATGCAACATATGTTTTAAAAAATCCTGCAACACTTCCCAATCATACCCACACACACACAAAATCCAAAGACAAATAAAATTTGTTTACCGAATATTCAGAGAAACCAAAATATTTAGTCATGCAGCACGCATTTAAATCAACTTAAATATTCGCTTGACATAATTTTTTATGGAAGTATTCTAAAACATCTAATCATGGAACATAAATTTATAGCTAAAAAAAGGCATTAAACAGGTGTGTAAAGCAACTACAAATATTTCTTCGTACAAAATATGGTTTTAAGCCATTCAAAAAAAAAAATGCCACAAGACAAACAAATAAATAGATAAGCAGCCCCAAACAGAAAATGCCACACGACAAAGAAATAGGTTTAAGCAGTCCAAAAAACAGAAAATGCCGCACGACAAAGAAATAGATATAAACATAAACAGTCACACACAAAAATGAAGAAAACACCACACAACAAAGAAATATATATAAACAGTCTAAAACAAAAAAAAAAAAATGCCATACGACAAAGAAATGGATATAGGCAGTAAAAAACAGAGAATGCCATACAATAAAGCACTTGATAAAAGCAGTTTTAAAAAAATGCCAGACACAAAAACATGGATAGAAGAAGAAATATACTTACAGCAACTTGATTGTGTTCTTGGTGAAAATCCCTCTGTGTTGCAGTTTGGCAACGGTGACGTCAATAGCAGGCCTTACATGCATGATTGAAAACGGGTACATGGTGTTGTTGGGCAGAATCACAGCAATGGACACCACCCTACTGGGGTCGGCGACAACCACAGTCCACAGCATCGTTTTTCAAAAGTACAAAGAGAAGCTGAAAATCCATTATCTTAGAAGCGCCACCAACTTGGAATAACGTACATGGTAGTTCCTCTTTCTAAAGTACAATTCGCAGAGGCAGAGATACGATGTTTAAATCAGAAAGATAGGAATGTCAACATCAAAATTATCAATGTTGTAGATATATTGATCATAAAGTCTCACCATGCCTACCATCTACGCCTACGCCGTTTTTATCCATTCCTGTGTATGTGGTACACTTTATTTGCATGATGAATACATAAAGAGGAATGACTATGTTAAATATTCACAAAAAATAGGTCATAAGAATTTAAGGGATCTATTGGTCGTCGAGCCGCTTTGGTTTGCACTTTCTTCACAGAAAAATTAAAAGCGGTTTATGTATGTCGATTTAGTTGAATTAAACAGCTTTTGTTGGGAAGACATTTCAGCTGCTATGGTCCATTCGAACAGTCTTGCCCACAAACATTAAAAAATATATCTTATACTCCTCTACAGGGTCAACACCAATTTTGGATTATGGTCTACTGTTCGCCATGTCGCAATGACTTCGTAATTGAGAAGTGCACAGGTGATTTATTTTTTTTAACAGCATCAAAGTTCTTTGATTTTTTTCAGACCAATAATGTGTCCGCCTGTTTAAAGACAACATACAGTAACTGTTACACATGGGTTCCATTTTATTAGCCAGTCAATGAGCACAATGACAGTACATGACGCCCCTCAGTTTCTCCCACGGACTTCTCCACAATGCGGTCAATTTAATGTTAAGCCAACTTCGCCTTACGATATTTACTATACATCAGCTAATTGTATGCTTTTAATCGACTTCTCTGAGCTACAGATTTTAAATTTGGCCACGACTTTAGGAATGGACTACACCGAAGTAATCCTTGCATCACAGTTGGCTAGTAATTGTGATAATAGCAACGCTGTTGAACAGATTCGCTGTCTCAGATTAGGTAAAGCTAGCTGTGTATCCTTTACAGGACGTTGAAGAGCCAACCACAGCATTTTTTGGCTGTTGTGGTTTTCCTAGACACATTTACGTCTACCAGTTTACCACAGCTTTCCCAACGGCCGGCTTCTCGATACCACTGTCAGATCACCGAACAGATCTCTCAGATTTACGAGCTGGGATCGAAACCGGCAAATGTAATTCTATACAAAAATACGAAAAAACAAACAAGCCGCCCATCCCACGAAAACTTTAAATGTAATTCTCTGTACAAAAGGAAAAAACTACGCCAGCGCAACTTTAAAAAAAACCCAAACATAAACCCTTGACCTATCAGGATAGTGGGGAGGTGTATTGATGGAAAGCGCTAGCATAAAAAAACCCCCCCCATATTTATCTGTCTTCTTCTGTGTAAAATGAAATAAGTGGTGTATGATAAAAATTTAGTCCCCCCCCCTGCCCCATTTGTTAATGTTGTTGTCATTTCCTGGTTTTTTCTTTCCTTTTTGCCCCCCTCCTCTTCTTCGTCTACCTCCAAATATTCCTTGAAGTACAGTCTTTGCAGTCAAATCATGTCTCACCACGCACATTAGCAATAGCACACAACAAATGTGTATTACCGAAAAAAACCTCCCCCCCCCCCGCCCTTTTCAGTGGGGGGGCCCCCCCCTGGGGACGGTCCCCCCACACTTGGGGTAAAGGTAAAATGGGGGGATCCCAGGCTGAAGAAGAAAGGAGGGAGGAGGGGGAGGAGAAAAAACTGGGGGGAGGATAAAGAAAGAAGGAGGGCGAGGAGGATGATGAAGAAAGAAGAAAAAAAAAAAATGATTAGAAAAAACAGAAGAATAAAGAAAATAAACAAAAAATAAACAACAAGATTTAACCGTTTTCCCCACAACAGATCATAGCGATTAGGATCAAGAACATGAGCAAGTAGCGGTGGTGGTGATAGAAGCCGTAGAAGTATTATTATTATTGTTGTTGTTATTATTATTAAAGATATTGTCACCATTATTAAGACATCCAAGCGTACGTAACTATGAGTGCAAAGAAACAGATTATTAATAGCATATATTCATTTCCCCCAAACATTAGGCTACCAGGGGCCCCAAAAACATGGGGGACACTATCTAAAAGCCCCCATCTATGCAAAATCAAATCTGTGAAGATGTGGGAGGATGCATGATGCATGAGAAAAAAAAGCAGCCCAACCTAACCAACCCCCCGAGACCCCGAGTGAATAATAAAAAACAAAAAAATCAGGCAAAATTTGTGGGGAAAAAAACGGGGGGGGGGGGAAACACCTTGTACTAGAATAATCCGAGAAAAAACAGCAGATCAATTGGTTTGGTGTGGCCCCCATCTTTTTTTTTAGAAAATGCAGCAAGATCAAAAATACCATCACAAGCACTACATCTCTCAGAAGATCAGCTTTTACAAGAAAAGGGGGGGGACGGTCACGGAAAAAAATATGGGATCAAAACAAAAACATTAAAAGACACTTTACGCCTTCACAGCATAACAAAAACAAATGGGGCCAGTGGCTGCCCAACGTGCAACTGATGGGGCAAAAAATTATTCCCTCCCCCCCACGCTTTTACTATATATTATTATTATTATTATATTAGTATAGGTTTGGTTGGTCCGTTTTATAGAAGTTATATAAGTAGTAGTAGTTTGTTGTTGTTGCTTTTGATGCTGCTATATTATTAAAAGTAGTATTAGTAGTAGTAGTAGTATTAGTAGTAGTAGTAGTAAAATAGTAGTATTGTTTTGTATTTGTAGCAGCAATATTTAGTAGTATTACTAATAGTGTATTTAGTAGGAGTATAGTAGTAGTAGTAATGTAGTAGTTAAGTAGTAGTAGTAGCAGTAGTAGTAGTAGGTAGTAGTAAGTAGTAGTAGTAGTAGTAAGTAGTATTTAGTAGTAGTAGTAGTAGTAGTAGTAGTAGTTAGTAGTAGTAGTAAGTAGTAGTTAGTTAGTAGTAGTAGGTTAGTAGTAAAGTAGTAGTAGTAGTAGTAGTAGTAGTAGTAGTAGTAGTAGTAGTAGTAGTAGTAGTAGTTAGTAGTAGGGTTGTTAGTAGTAGTAGTAGTAGTAGTAGTAGTAGTAGTAGGTAGGTAGTAGTAGTAGTAGTAGTAGTAGTAGTAGTAGTAGTAGTAGTAGTAGTAGTAAGTAGTAGTAGTAGTATGTAGTTAGTTAGTAGTAGTAGTTAGTAGTAGTAGTATTAGTAGGAGTAGTTAAGTAGTAGTAGTAGTAGTAGTAGTAGTAGTAGTAGTAGCAGCAGCAGCAAGTAAGTAGCAGTTAGTAGTAGTAGTAGTAGTAGTTCTAGTAATGTATTAGTAGTAGCAATACAAAGTAGTGTGTGGGTAGTGTGGTGTAGTAGTGGTGTGTGTGTTGGGTGGTGTGGTAGTGTGTGGGTTGTAGTGTGTTAGTCCCAGCCCCGTGCTTTAGTAGGAGTAGAAGGAGTAGTAGTAGTGCTTTCTGAGTCAGTCACAATGTGCGTGTGTGTTTCGTGTTCTCTAGCCAGCGGCAAGCTGCAGTGACCGCCTCTGTGAAAGATACACAAGCCAAGTGTAGTATCTGCATTCCTATGGAGGTAAGCATGAACAAATCGCAGATTTTAGTACACGATGGCCAGTCATCATCATGTAGAAAGGTCTTTGCAAAACGTCGCTCTCACCACAGTCTGCATAAAGGAAACTCTCGTCAGCTCTCCTGTCTCGTGCACTTTCATCTACAAGGGGTCATTTACATTCTGTGCCCATCTGTCGTGGGGTGAACAGCCAACCTTACACTGTTGACTGTTCGTGACGACCAGTTAATCCTTAAAGAATTCCTAAGCTTGGGTAAGTTGATTATAGTTTACGAGTACCATGATATATGTCTCTTTAAAGTTGGCCACTGCTGCAGGGAGGGAAGATTCAGCTGTGTGATAGCACAGAACTGGGCCATTCTTGATATCCAGACACTCCAGGCTGAAATCAAACCTGTCCCTTCACAGGCTAACTAGCTTGTGCCGTACATAACACACACCATTGTAAAAATATTAAACCCAGCAAGTTAATTATTCTCTAACCAAACGGAGGAGTTGTATCGACTAACAGACATTTGTAAACTGGGTCATCCTGCATTTGGCTAGGCTGTGACGTCAGAGCTCGGCGCTTTGAATCAAAGGTTAACTTTAGCACAACATTGAGTGTGTAGTATGCCGCTTGTGAAGAGATGAAATATATTTATGTACGAACGGGATAGAATGTGTGTCTGCGGGTGCAAATGGTAAGGTGGAGAGAGGATGTGCTATGTGTAGTAATATCTATCTATCACCACTATGTACCTTATCTTCTATCTGGTTACTGACTTACAGACAGAGAAATGAAAGGGGACATGGTCTCCTGTTCTTGAGAGTATACTCTGAGTAACTAGAAGGGTAGCAGAAGATAAGTTGAGCTGGTGTGTGCATTTTAAGATGATTACTAATTCTGAGTTTTTTCCTGACAGTATGAAATCTCCTTAGAAATCAGGCAGACGAATCACAGTCCAACCAGAAATCACCAACCCATAACCAGCAATCAACATCCCATACCATTCCTATCACCAATCCTACCCAAAACCCTACCTATTGTTGGCAGAACATCAACATGGCAGGAGTTTTTGTGTGAGTTCCAGTGGCTGAGTGACAGTATTGCACGCCACCTGTGTCATCAATCCAAGGAATCCTTCTTCAGGAGCTTGTGTGTGAGTTCCAGTGGCTGAGTGACAGTATTGCAGGCCACCTGTGTCACCAATCCAAGGAAGTCTTCTTCAGGAGCTGTGTTGGGCTCCAGTGTAGTTCCTTTGTCCTCATATGTGAAACGATCAGTGGGTGCCAGATCAACCAGAGAGAAAAGCAATCTAATGCGTCAGCCGGTTCAAGTCACCATGGACTGAGGGGAGCAGTGACCTACCAGTTTGGTTAAGTACATCTAAGATGCCCTACATGCTCTCTGTCCATGGTTACCTTTAGTTCACTGTGATGAACTGTGTACTTAT